TTTGTGCCTCTTTTTTCCCCTAAAGCAGCAGCTGCTCCATGGGGGCCATGACCCGCCGGTCCCCTGCGCCTGGCGGGGCTGTTTGTGCCCTGCCCGCTGCCGCCCCGTTAATGGTTCCCTTCCTTCCGCGGAGCCACCTCAGAGCCGAGGCCCGGCGGCTGCGTCACCCCTAATGAAGGGTCCCCGGTGTCACCCGGGCCCGTCACGGGAGGCCACGCTGGAGCCGCCCCTGTCTCCCTGGCGCGTTGTTTACCCGTGCGTTTAAGAGAGGCCCCGGTGAGGAGCCAGGGCTCGATGGCAGAGCTCTGTGAACCGGCTTGCTTGAGGGACAGAGTCTGCGTGTTCAGCTGGAGCTTCCCAAAGTTCAGATAGAATATGGATTTCAGGGCTTTTTTTTTTTTTTTCCTTTTTTTTCTTCCCACCGGGGTTAGGCACAGCCAGCCTTACTGCCAGAATTAACCTTTGGATTAATTGGGATGGTTAGTAAATAACCTGGCTGTTTGCATCACGATTTCTAAATCTTGTACTGTATTTGTGAAACAAAACAAGTGTTTGTAAAACAAAACAAAAAATACCATGCTGAAGCAACATACATATATATGTTTTCTTTAGCTATTATTTTTCCCAGTTATTTAGAACACAACCATGATGTGAAAATAGCATTTCCTTATCAATTAAAATGTTTTCTGTAACTCTTTAATATTAGTTTGGTCACTTTCGTTCCATAAACAATATTTCATAAAACGTAGCTTTCCTGGATCACCCACCTGGCACAATGTTTGTTCCACAGGAGAGATAGAAATTTCAATGTGATAGAGGACCAGTACAAACACTTCCTAGAACCCATTTGTAGTAGGTGGCAGTAAACTGGGCTTAGTTATGAGAATTTCCTAGCTGCTCCAGCCTATCATTATGCTTGACTAGCCACTCTGGGTTGAAATGCCTTGGAGGAAAATGAGTAAGTGAAAAGGCTGGAAACCTTAAAAAAAATCTGTGGGTAGATGAAGGAACTCTGTTATTTTTCTTTAGAATATGTTAAAAATCTTTGATGCAGCAGTTTGTCCTTGCTAACTAACCTTGTCCTTTCTTGTCGATAACATCTGTCAATAATATCTAAAAATACCTGCAATATTTTTAGGAGCTCGTACGACAAGGGGAGGCACTGAAGCGCACGGAACAAATGGTGGATAAGATGGACCAGGACTTGAAGACTAGTCAAAAACACATAAATAGCATTAAGAGTGTTTTTGGGGGCTTGGTAAACTACTTCAAACCCAAAACTCCAGAGAGCAAGCCAGAGCAGAATGGAACCCCTGAGTATAATGCTAATAATAGGTAAGCAAAATAAATGTTTTACTTGAGTGTGATAGTACTTTCCTGAGACCATGCAGGAGACCTGTCTGCTGTTAGAAATTTTTAGATTTTTTTTTATAAGTTTTTTGTGAGGTTCAATTTTGTGTCTTCAGTGAGGTTAAATAAGTGCCTCACTGAAGACAAATGCTAACAGTCCATTGTAAAGGGACATGCTGAGTTGGACCTAAGCAACTGACTCTTTTTGGATAGAATACTTGGTTTTGTTTAACAGATTTGGAATCAAACTTTTGGTCCCTGAGAATGTTTTCTTTTTCTTTGCATTACCAGATTAAAAGAAGCGATGATGTCTAGTAAAGAGCAAGAGTCAAAATACCAGGAAAGTCATCCAAATTTAAGACGGCTAGATAATTCAGGTTTGTTAATCTTATTTTATACTGATTATCCATCACCCAAGTAGGGGAGACTTGCACAGTGGTAAAGTCACAGACTCTGCAGCCTGCCCAGCTCTTGACTTGAAGAGCTGCCTAACTCCTGCTGGAGACTTGTGTGTGACCTTTCATGACCATTAGTGCTAGGGAATTGCTTGCCCCTAAAACTCTTCATACCCAAAACATGAAAATATTTATTATATGTAGATTTTTTTAGCCCTTCTTGGAAGCGATTAATAATGTATCCACTAAAGACGGCAAAGAATCCAGTGCTTGTATTTGCACAGAGGAGACCATGGCCAAGAATCTGCTTAATGTACAGGCAGCTTTATCCCATGTTTCTCAAACTATGAACACATAAGGCTGTCCTTAACTGTGATTTGCCTTAATTTTCTTTTTTTTTTCTTGTTATTGTAAGCCCAGGCTAACCTGCCATCCTGAAGTCAGTATTTTATTCCCAAAAGGAAATATACAGGATTTGATTTTGTTCACCTTTCTTGCAATTAATTATCTTCTGTAAAGGAGTTTTGTGTGCAAAATAAGCTACGCTTTAAAGTGATTTTCTATTATGTATTTGTTAAGAATAAGACAGGCATATCTTTGGAATTGTAGATGTCTCAGTAAATAAATACTTATTTGGGAGTCAATTAGCCTCTAGAAATACAGTGCTAGATAAGTAGTTTGGATAAATCTGTTTAGAAAGCAAACAAATCTAAATAGGTATTTTTTCAATTTGTATATGATGTGTAAGAAGCACATTTCTAGTGTTTTTAAACTAGACTCACAAGATGATTTTCACAGAATTGCTCTGTGAATTTGGCCATGAATATGTTTGCAGAAAAGCTAGAAGTTTCTCAGCTGACTGAAAATTGTTACTTGAATCTTTTTGGCCTCTTTTTAGATGTATTAAGCTGTAGTCATTAAGACTGTCCAGGAGAGGGCAGAAACACTCTCCAGTGGTTTGCCCTAGGAGGACACTTAATTGCTGATATAAATGACTTGGTTTTGGTGCTTTGTTTTTTTCCAAACTACCCAGCTGAACTACACAAAGCAGTTGGAAGAGACAGCTTTGATGTGCAGCCAGTTGCATATGTTAATAACTGTGTGCCTTGGGGTTACTCTCTAGTGATGTCATGCTGCTTTTGATAGTCTTCTGGCAGCTTATGTAATTAAGTAGCATCTGTAGTCAGACTAATTGTTAATATTCATCTAAAACTTAACTCTTCCTCAAAGCTTTTTGTTATGTGAATGTTTTATATTGTTAACAGACAGTGATTTCAGTGGAGTAGATTCAATTTCTTCAGTGCAACGTGATGCTTATCCAAAGAATCAACATCTGCGAGCTTATCACCAGAAAATTGATAGCAACTTAGGTGAGTGAGAAAAGTGAAGCTGTTTGGTATAATCCTATATTAATAGTTCTTGGTTTTCAAGATAGAGAAAAGTTAACTAGTATATTCCCAGTAAACACTTTTTATTTAGTTAATTTCCAAATTTTGATAATGAAAAATCATTTGCTTGTAGGCTGCATTTCAGAACCATCTCTGTGGCAGAAACCACTGTTTGATTGCAATATGTATTTCCTGAATGGTCAAATATTGTGGAACATCTGTGAGTTAACTACTTGTGAAGATAAATGACAAATCGGAGTTAGAGATGAATTTCACATGATATCAGCTAGTAACAATGTGGCTAGGATGCCAGGAATAATACAAACTTACTATGGAACTGTTACGTAATTGGCATCAATACTTTAATTCTTCTGTTGTATTCTGTGCTGTAAAAATCTTTAGTTTTTCAACTTTCACTGAACAAAGACACCAGCAGATTTTTTTTAAAAAAAAAGTATGAAGCACATTAGTTCTCTTAAGTTGCTGCTGCTGACGTATTCCACAGTATTTGCGTTGTATGAAAATGTTTGTTTGAATCAACCCGTAAATTGACTGGAATATCACTGGGCCAAGCAGGCTTCATCCTCCTTTTTTGAAAATCTTAGTTGGCAGATATTAGTATTATCAAGAAGGAACTGTAGTTTAACATCCACATAGGAACTGTATGGGGGAGTACTTAGCTTCTTTTTGTGTTGACATTGCCCATTACTTTGAAAGATGTATTTGGTTTACCTGGCTGACCGAGTTAAAACTGGGTTACTAAATTGTACATCAGTTTGGATCCCCCCAAAATTGCAATTGTGCATAGGTGTTGAAATAAATACATCTTTGGCATAAAATAGAAGCATCAAAAGGCATTCGGTATTTCATTTGTGGATCATATGCATTTCTTGTGTTACTTCCAAAAAACATACAGCTGAATTTTTCTTCCTTTGTTCTGTAGTATATATACAAAATGCCTCTTGCTTACATGTGTCACTGTTTATCTGACCTAGAAAGATGAGATTGGAAGGAAATCAGAAAGAACTAGATCAAAGAGAAATAGTCAAGCATAAGAGTTAGTGAAGGCATATTTGTTCTATTCCCAGGCCACACAAAATTTACTAGTGCCAGAAACATTTGTACCAGCCAGTAAGACAATAAAGTTGTTTCCCTGTAGCTTTAGTTATAAAATCTGGAATTTGGGGGTGGGTATTTTGATCTACATTGAACGGTTAACTGCTTAAATCCTTAGTATATTCATTATATCTCTGCAATAAAGATAATTTCAAAGAAAAATAAGTGAGGTAGTGAGCATATTGTGTAAGCTGAGCTGAGAAAAGTCATGCCCTACTTTAAAATATATTTAAGAAGTTAAAATCAGGAAAATTAATACCACTTAGTACTTTATAAGGAATCTGGTTTGACTTTAAGCATTTGTACTTCACCGGTAATGGAAAGAAGAAGAAATAACTGCTTTCTGATACTGATTCTCTAGCAGTCATAAAATATTGGTGCTTTCAGTATTGCAGAAGAAAAGGGTACTCAAATGTGAGCAGTTATGACTAATGTTTTCTAGCTGAAGCTTTTAGAGAAGAGTGAATCTTGGTAGCGTCCAGTCGAACAGTGCCCTTCGTACAGCGGTGAGTCCTTACGCTTTCTTTGTGTGTTGGCAGATGAGATGTCGTCTGGGTTGAGTCGCCTGAAAAACCTAGCTCTGGGTCTGCAGACAGAAATACAGGAGCAGGATGATATGCTTGATCGGCTAACTAAAAAAGTAGAGACATTGGATATCAACATTGCAAACACCGATAAAAGAGTCCGACAACTCTAAAAGGTCATAGAAATTTTTACTTCAGCACCATTTGGTTTCTTGGCTGTCTTATCTCACCGGGTCTCTATCAAAAAAATCTTGGGCAACATCTACTTTTTTTCCTGGTATGTCATTGATTTTGTTGTCATTAAAGTTACATAATCTTATATGCAGCATAATACCTTAAGTTTTTTCCTAACGTACATGGAAAAGGTGCATGTTGAGCAAAATCTTCAAGCACTTGGTAAATGCCTTTGTGCTGGATACAGGGGTTCAATGCTCTTACTGTGTGTCATGTGCATGGAGGAATTTGCACACCAAGGTGCTTCAGTGTCTGTGGCCAGAGAGCTGTGATGAGAAAAGTAACTACATTTCGCCTCTGTTTTGGGGAGGGGGTGAAGGGGAACAGAATGTGTTTCTTAGTTCAGAACAAATGTTGCTAATTCTGTTTACCTACAGCTGTTCTAAATTCTGAAAAAAAAATGGTGGTTTCCAGCTGTAAAAATACTCCTAAGTGACTGCTTTCTGGCATTTCTGGGGATTAAGGAACAAACCGTTCTGTGGAAGTTGTAAAATATCAAGGGTGTCAGGCAGCAATGATAATGTCCTGTACTTGTTCCATTTCCTAGGATGACTTTTCCAAAATGGTAGATCTATAAACTATGGTGTCAGAATTTTCTTCTTCACAGTGTTTCCCATAAAGATTGAAACAAGAAGTGTTGATGAAAGTGACCCCAAAAGTTTAGAACAGATATGTACAAGTCCCTGTTTGTTCTGCCTAAAAGCGCATTTCATATACATTGGCTCCTTCTGCTTTTTCAGCTTCTGCTCTTTCTCAGCCTCCTCAGTTAGGTGTTTATTTGGTGAATAGTTTCCATTTTAAAAAATGGAGATTTGGATTGATTCTGTATGAACATATTGTAGGAGATAGTTCCTTAATTTAATATTTATTTCGAACAAAGACAATTAGAGAGTAAGCAGATGCTACAGTCTTTAATGACAGTGTTTTTAGGAAACTCAGCTTTGAACCACATATATTAAGAATGACTTTAGCAGGTACAAAAAGTTCCTGCAGCTGATGAAAAGTTCAGAAATGTTTCTGAGTCTTCCAGATACAAGTTGGACCTCCCAATTTGTTTTATTCTTTCATAGATACCACTGTATCACAGTAGGGACCTGGGTCAGTATTAGAACTTTCACTATCAACAAATGACTATAAAATGAGACCTAAGTAATCGGAGCAATTCTTGTTTTACTACGTTTCATGGAAGTTCGCTGTAGAAAAAAATAAATTGCTAAAACTAGCTTCACTTGGATGTCATATTATGGAAAAATAATGACTCCTGGAATTACTAGCAAAGTAAAGTTATGAAGTAGGTTTAAGGCAAGCCTATGTTTTGCCTTGCCTTACTGATATCATTGGTTCAGCCTCTAAAAAAGGCTGTGATTTGCAATGACATAAAAATATGTGAAGTCTTGAGCATCTTTCATAGCTTTTCAGTCTTCACGGTTTTGGATATTCACCTCGAAGACTGAAAAAGTCTGTTAACATCAATATATCATTTATTCTGGTGGGTGTATAACTAATTCTCTTTTACTCTGCCAAGATATTCACAAATAATTTGATACCTCAAAAGGCTGATGTGTTTCTTTAATAGAGAGAATGGATCATTAGCTTCAGAAACTTAAGTACCTTAATGAAATAAGGTTAAAATTTTGGTTGTACCTGTTTTGATTCCTTATTTGACTGTCTCCTTTTTAATTAAACAGGTGAAAAGATTTTTTTTGTCACTTTTTTGTTCACCCTAGTGCTGATTAACAGACTCTGTTAATCTGTTTTTAAGAAGAGGACTTGTAAATTCTATCCATAACAGAGAATTAAAAAAAAAAAAAACTCCAGGAACTAATGACATTCCCTTTCCATAGTAAGACTGTGGTGGCTGGGATGTAGGTTGACATTTTCTCAAGCAAGTTATAGGTAACAGAATGAGAAATGTAGCTGGAAAATCTAGATCTGTTATATGCAATGAAGAGAAATGTACAGTTTGAATCCAAGCAAATATCTCAGTTGATTTAAAAGTAAAATATATCACCTTTTTGATGTAAGCTCTTCCACATTTTTAAGTCTAAATTTTTTAACAAAACTAACTCTTTTCTTGATCAACATTTTAGTTACATCAGCCTTACTAGAAGTTTCCTGTATTCAGCTTAGATGTCTTTGATGCTTTTAAAAAGCAGACAAGAGGAATTAAAAATCTTTCTGCTTTGAGTGCCTCGTGATCAAAGCAGACTAGAAAACCAGGAATTCAGCCATGTGGAAGTTTATACAAAGATCTAATTTCTCTTCTCTGCTAATAATCCCATTCACTGTTTCAGTGAGTAACATATGCCTTTATTTTCTCACTACTTGGCCTTTCCTGCTCTGGCTAGAATGACTTTGCTTCTTTGAGAAAGGGGAATTTAAAAGGAGGGAGGAGAAAAAAAAAAAAAAAAGATTTTTTTGCCTTTCTAGGAAGTCTCTTCTTGCATATGTTACCGAGGTTACTGAGGACTTTTTTTTTTTTTTTTTTGACTTTCCTTTTAGTTCCTGAGATAGATCACAGTTTTTATTTCTTGTTGGATACCATTGAAAAATGTATTCCATGTTAAGAGACAGGACTTTCGGAGGAAACTGAATTTTCATTGCAGTGGTAAATTCATAAGTCAAACCAACTGTTCTGCATAAATAGTCATGTTGGTATAGAAATCAATATTCTTGTAGCCAAATAACTCTAATGTTATTCTTGTCGGCTTGCGTGGAAGTTTCAATATTAAGAATAACATAGCAAAAAAAAAAAAAAACCTGTTGTCGTCTTTGTAGAATGAAATTTTCTTTAAACACGTGCTAATAAATTTGGAAGAGGTATAAAATACAGAGAAAGGACATACTCTTCCCAACCATACCCATCTTATTATAGATAATACCTATCTTATGATAGATAATAAACTATGCTCTGAAAGCAGGAAGAGGGAAAAGACTGGAGGAGCAGTTACTGGCTACTAGTTTCCTATATATAGCTAATCATAAATTTATTGAGCATTTAATTGAATGTGGTAACAAATGATATTGTGTGGCTGAATTTTAGTGTGTAATACAAAAACTCGTTCCTGTGCTGGGCTGTATTGGCCTAACGAAATCATTGGGATGCTGTATAGTGTAATATGAAGGCGTAGCATGTGTGCCATCCAAAATTCCTAGGAGGAACTACTGTCTTTACTCAGGTTATACACAAAATGCTGTCTTTCTGAATCTGGCCTTTCCCTGAAAACTTTTTTTTTTTTTTTAGCTTTTTTAATATGTGAAATTTATCTGAAATATTTTGCTGCCTAGTAGTTTTTGTGACGTGATTGTAATTTGTTAAATGGTGAAATAGAACATACTTTCCAACCACATTGCCTTCAAAACAGATGGACTTTTGTAGGCACTTACACAAGAATGTCATGTGGAGGAGGTGTATTACGTTTGGCTTTTAAACTTGTGGAGCTTATCGTCGAAATCGCAGATAGTAGTTATTTATGTATATGGCTTTTTTAATAGTTCTTTAATTATATGCTACTCAGAAATAACACTTTTTATACAAGTCAGATTGCAATATCTTTTTCTCTTATTTAAATGTTCAACTGGACTGTAGTTAATCAATTTAGAATATTGAGTGCAATGAGTGCTGAATGGTAACATGGTCAATAAAGGTGCTTTTTGGTCATGGAGAGTTTTTGCTTTTATTTCCCATTATTCTTTAAAATATAAGTGCTTGACTCTTTTACATAAGATCTATTAAAATGGTAGGCATAGTCTATTTTATTTATTTTTTGTGCTAATTGGATGAGAATTAGTTTGCAGATGGTGATTGTTTCTTGTGAATAAAAGGTGTTAAATTTTACTTGAATTTTTACTTGACTTTTGAGTCAATTTTCCTGAACTTTAACTTATGATGATAAAATAATCCAAGATATTCTTTAAAAAATACCTTTTCATGGCACTTGTGTCTATGAGGAATACCATTAATTGAAAATATACATGGAAAAAAAAAGTGGAAAGGAGGGCAGACTAGAAATAAGGCCAGTTCTGTCTTGAAGGCTTAAAAGCAGTGGTCCTGTGGGCTCTTAAGTTTGGGAGTGTGCAAAGTCTGCAGAATGCCCTAACCTCTAGTTGGGCTGTTATCTGTGTATGACTGGGGAAAAATGGGATCTGAATTTGGGGGGTAAGGGTGTGCGATGAAGTTTAATTATCTTGTTTTTTTCTTAATGGCTGGTGAGGCAGTCAGCCCTTCTGTGCTTTCCCAAGGCCTTGCTTGATTCCAACACAGACCCTGCATTTCTGGGAAGCAGGGGAGGAGGGGAGCCTCAATGAAGGGCACGTGTGCAAGTGTGCAAGGACAGCGGAGCGGCGGCTCGGGGAGAGCAGGGTCCCCGTGCACCTGCCTAACTCTCCCCACTTCTCTCTCTGCCTCCAAGAAGAGGTTTGGTTGGTTTGCTTTTGGAAGGAAGAAGTTCTACAATTTTCATCCCCTTTTGGTGGAGGGCTGGTTTGTTTCCTTCCAGATAAATATTTTATAGACTTCCAGAACAGGAAAATAGGGGGAGCAACTGCTCAGTAAGGTCCACTGGAGAGGAAGCAGGGAGCTATCCCAGAGCAGACCGACTGCCAGGTCTGGAAGATCCCTGCCTGCCAGGCGGGACGTTCTAAATACAGCGGCCTTGGAGCCCTGCCGCGGCTATAAAAAGTCCAGATGGGTTGTGACTTGCTGTTGGTGAGGCAGAACCTTCTAGCAAGTGCTCCTATCTCTATCTGTGGATATTTTGGAGTGAACAACTGACCTCTTCAGCATCTTAATTCTCGGGGATTCTTCTTTTTCCTCCGTATTAATTGTAAAGCTGTTCTTCCTTGATGATGGATACAGTTCATAAGAAATCTCTGCCCAGTTTTGTTATGTTGTTTTAGTCTTCCAAGGTCAGCCAAGTTAAGCTGGGATATTTATACTTACTAGCTTTTAGTTGCTCTCGGTATTCAATGATGTTATTCATCTTAGTTTGCT